GCAGTCCGGCTCTCCCTCTTCTGTTTGTTATCACTGCCTCAGCCCTCTTTCAGTGTTGTAACACTGCCTGATAACCGGCTTTCAAAACAAACTCGGCATCAGTGCTAATATATGACTTCTGCATGGAAAACTCGTTCCAAGAGTCAGCAGGAACCCACGAGAGAGCAAAAGTGCAGCAAAACGCTAAGTATTTCAAAACCGAATGTGCTGCCTTGCTACCAGTGTTGGGTGTAATTACGTATAAAGTAACTAGTTACTGTAATTAAATGACTTTTCTGCTGAGATTTTACTTGCCTTAAATACTGTACAGTTCGTATAAATCAATTCAAAGTGGATTAATATACCGAACAAAAGAAGAACATTTATCAAGACAATCGCTTAAAAAAACAATGAATAGAGTCAGTTCATGACAGTATAAGGACTACATTCATATAGTACATTATTTTTCAGATATTCAGATAATTATTAATGTACTTTAACAGTTTTCAAGTATAGAAAGTTATATTTATAATCAAAATACATGAATGGAGATTGGTATGGTACGAAATATGGTGTTATTTTTTACATATATTGTTTATATTTTAAAATTCTTAACAAAATGAAAAGGTCCTGGTGCGGCACGATGGCTCAGTGGTTAGCACTGTCACCTCACAGCAAGAAGGTTGCTGGTTCAAGTGCTTGTTGGCATTTCTGTGTTGTGTTTGCATATTCTCCCCGTGTTCACGTGGATTGGATAAACTAAACTGACTTTAGTGTATGAGTGTGTGTGCCCACTAAACACAATTGTGTTTAAATTACGTCTTTTAGAGGTTTCTTTTGGACAATTAGATGTTAAAATGACGTCCCCTAAGGTTGCAGAATGAAAGTTTTTGTGATGTCCTTTTTGGTCTTTTTGGCTTAGTCCCTTCAGGGGTCGCCACAGCAGATGAACCACCAACTTATCCCGCATATGTTTTATACAGTGGATGCCCTTCCAGCCACAACCCAACACTATGAAACACCCATAGACTCATACGGCCAATTTACCTTATCAAATTCACCTATAGCGCATGTGTTTGGACTGTGGGGGAAACCGGAGCACCTGAAGAAAACCCACGCTAACACCGGGGAGAAAAAGAACATGCTCCCCGCAGAAATGCCAACTGACCCAGCCGGGGTTTGAGCCAGCGAACTTCTTGCTGTGAGGTGATCGTGCTACCCACTGCGCCACCATGTCGCCCCAGTACATAACTTATGTAAATTATTATCATGAATAATCTAGTTCAAAACATTTAGTTTGCAGCTAAAACATTAAATCTCTCAAAATCTCAGCAGAGGATCAATAAACACTCAACAGCATCAGCAGATTCACTTACTAATAACCTGCTTGACTTTACTTTCATTACTGTCAGATGTCTTCAAAAGTTGCAGTGAAGCATGGCTGCTTTACTTGGGGTCACTGTTTTAAGGATAGCTCAATTATGTGACTGTTCTGCACCCTTAGGGGACGTCATTTCAACATCCAATTGTTCAAAAGAAACGTTAAAAATACGTCATTTGGACACAATTGTGTTTTGTGAGTGTGAATGCAGGAGTGTATAGGAGTTTCCCAGTACTGGGTAGCTGCCGGAAGGGCATCCGCTGTGTAAAACATGAGCCAAAATAATTGGCAGTTCATTCCACTGTGGTGACCCCTGATAAATAAGGGACTAAGCCAAAGGAAAATTAATTAATGAAATAAAGCTCATGTTTGACTCAAATTTAATTTCTATTGCCTATATGTTGAGATTTATCTGGATATTTAGTATTGAGTCAAGTATTTCAATTACTAACTGGTTCATTAATGAATTAATTACATCACGTGATTATCAGTACACATCTGGAGATGAACTAGTTCCTATTTACTAGCACTCCTTTACCCTATTTATATAAATGGTCCTATTTATCTCAATAATAACTCTAACTCAATGATATTATACATTATGCATTGTGTTCTAGTTCTACGACTGAATTCCACAATTTCATCTCCATTTCTTCACATTTTACAACTCATTGAGATCTAGTTTGTCAACATTTTCCATATTCTTCCAGGAGGCAGACAAATAGATCATGTCAATCCCAAATTCGCAACCACTGTTTGACCACCCAAGCTAAACAATGTTTAAAGCATCTGAAAGCTAGTTCTAAGTAAAGCTAGTTTAAATGGCTTTAAAGTAAAAGAAATGAGGACATATGGCAGTTTTCATGCAAATGTACCTGAATGTGTGGTCAGACCAGAGTCCGCAAGGAATACCAGATCTCGTTTTCGACAAATTGCCACGATAACTCTCTCCGTTGTCTTCATAACATTCTATAAAACACACATAAATACAACATACACAATGTTAACATGCATAAACACATGAACTGTCCATGTTTAGATTACTGATGGATTTGCTGATTGTCTCCATGCTGTCATGAATTAAGCATGTCTGAAACAGCATTTTATTAGTGGGCGAGGGCCAATTTCACGTCAGGGAGCACTTTACAATTGGTGGTTGGCAAACATGAAGGGGGAAAAAGCTTTAGTCGGTGCCAAGATCTGACTGAAGTTTGAGCAAATCCAGAGAAGAGTTGCCCTGTCTCTCTGACCTGAAACCTCAAAGCCACTTCTCTTCTGCTGAGAAAAGTGTCTTATGGAAAAGCTGGAACAAACATGAAAAAGTCCATTTTGCACAGAGGAATCTATTTGTTTTAGAAGCGCTTTGTGTGTGACACAGATGAAGGGGAATGTGAGGGTAACCCAGAACAAAACCATACTTGAGCTGAATGCCAGATCTTTACAGGCAGTCTCCGAAAGCGTCCGTGATGGCGCCTCTGCGCAAAACATCTTTGTCTTTCGTCATTAAAATTCTTGTAAATTATGATTAGCTTTTGGAACAACTTAACCATGCGGTAAAAGACGTGTGTAAAATTATATGAATTAAGTGTGCGTGTTTGCCTCACCTGTGCTGTCAGAGCTCTCTGATTCGCATCTGGGAATGTTGGTACAGAAAGCTTTGCGCACTTTTGCGTCTGTGGTGAAACACCAGGGAATTTCAGAGCCATCAGGATTTCTGCAATAGTTCTCCCTCAGATCCCTGAGTTGGAGAGAAACTAGTTTGAAAAACAATGTTTTTCTGTTTCTTTTTTTTTTCAGAATGTCAGGGCTGATCAAACACATGGTATCATCTCATAAATAAGGCTGGTACTGTATATTTTAATTCCACTGTAAAACATATTGAACAGTTAAACACTGCTTGTGATTTATGGGTGTTTTCCCATTTGTTTACGCTTTTAATTGCATCACTTTTGCATCTACACAGTTTATCAAAGTGACATATACTTATAAACGATATACTGCAGTAATTATTAAATACATAAAATAAAAAATTTACTGGCAGCCATATGCAACACATTACTGTTTTGTGATGTAGTTTACATCACCTATTCAGAAAATATGGATTCAAACTTCTAAAATTGTTTTTTTAAGACATCATCAGTTGTCAGATCAATGTCCCATGCAATCTATTTTAATGCAATCTGGAAGCATGAATAAACCAAAAACACCCTTGAATCACAAAACGTAACTGTTAACATGTTTTTTTGTGTATATTGCAGCAACTAGGTTCATATTTATTTATTTTTTAAAATATATTTGCAGTGTTGTTTTAATGTAATGCATGTTTGTCTCAAAACTCTGACTTATTATTTGGGACTACATGCTTGAATGCTGAAATTTCCAAATAACTCATAATTCTGAGAAAAAAAATAACTCAAAATGATGAGATATAAACTTTAAACTATATATTGTGAGACAAAAGACATTGATGTTTTTATCAAGAAAAAAGGGTGAACAAGATAAGACATAAATACATTTGATTCGTATCATTATTCATTTGAATTTTTGCAATATGACCATATTATAATTTACCCATAAAAATTAATTATCATTCTGAAATTTACAAACCTAAAAATGCATTATTTATTTATTTTTCTTCTCTTGGTTTAACTGTTTGCATTTGTGCTATTTCCTGTAATAAGCTTATTTGTTCTTACCTTTAAATGTACTTCAATTTATTAAACTTTGTATATACAATTTCTTTGTCATAATAAGCTTAATTATTAAAATAAATAAAAGAATAACATGGGTCAAAAATATATCCTAAAACTATACTACCTGACAAAAGTCTTGTTGCCTATCCAAGTTTTAGGAACAACAAATAATAACGTGAATTCTAGTTGATCATTTGGTATCAGAAGTGGCTGATATGAAAGCCAAAGTCCTCTAGATTCCGCTTATTTTACCAAAATAAAATATGATCATGCCTTGATTTTTAATTATTTAATCAGGACAGTAAGATCTGACTTAGCGTAGACAAAAGTCTTGTCACTTAACAGAAAAAATGTACAGTAAACTCCTTCACAACAATACATCAAACTCCCAGAATCCATCATCAACATCTTTGCATTGTGGTGGCAAATTTACCATCAGCAAATAGTAGTATAGCATGACTCACTTGCATTTATAGTTGTGCGGAGTGTATGAATGGATGTGAGGAGAGAGAGCGTCCCAGCGTTGACAGGTCACACCTGCAGGGGTCACGTTGACTGTACCCCTGTAGCCCTCTCCTTGACCCCGAAAACAAGAGCTGGTCACCTCCACTTCCACATCGCTATCTGAGTCTGAAACAGAGAAAAGGAAAGAGAATGTCAGGAATTCCAAACATCAGCATTCGGAAAATGTTTCCATTGGACAGATGCCATGAATGAAATACAGGAGTAACGCTTGAGCCATAAGATTTATGATGAGTCAGCGCACCTGTACACAATCCCTGGACTAAACTAAATATCACACACGCAAGCATCTGTGCTAGGAGAGGGCTTTCATACACACACGCAGCTTTTTTTAACCAAAACTCTTTTCATAGAAAGACTATTCGACAATTTATATTCCATGTAAACTAATATGAAAGAAATAATTGATGGTGGGCCTTTGAAATATTTGAAAACAATGCACAGCTAAGGGTAGTAAAATTATCACAACTATGCGAAGATTATACTCGATTACCACACCTAAAGACATTGTTTAGATGTGGTATTTCAGTGAGTGAGACCACCAGGGGGCGCTCAACCTGCGGTCTATGTGGGTCCTATAGCCCCAGTATACTGATTGGGACTGTATACTGTCAGTGAGCGCCATCTTACAGATAAGATGTCTAACCGAGGTCCTGACTCTCTGCGCTCAATAAAAAACCCAGGATGTCCTTGGAAAAAAGAGTAGGGGCCAAATTGCCAACTGGTCTCTGTTCATCATGGCCTCCTAACCACCCCCATATTATAATTGGCTTCATCATTCTATCTCCTCTCCACTGATCAACTGCTGTGTGGTGTGCAGTCTGGCACAATATGGCTGCCGTCGCGTCATCCAGGTGGATGCTGCATACTGGTGGTGGATGAGGAGATTCCTCCAATGTGTAAAGCGTTTTGAGTGTCCACAAAAGCGCTATATAAATGTAAGGACTTATTATTATTTATCATTATTATTTCAAAACATTCCTCAGGTTTTAGTCCTGAAAAAGTCTTTTGTTTCGTTTCTGGTTAGATTTTTGGTGGTGACGTATTTCGAAATAGATGAAATCATTTGGCATAGGCTGTATTTGAAACTGCCTCCCTTGCATTGTGTACTATTTGAGGTAGCAGCTATTTGTAGTGGTGCCTAAAACCATTGTGGACGTTCTGAAATGCAATAATTAATCCCACAATGCACTGCAATATCGATTGTGCAACCAATGTACACTCAACGACTAAGTATACCCAATAAAGAACTGTGAGAGTTGAAGATGGCATCCACATACGAATCTTATGGATGTAAATTTCTAAATAATTGTTTAAGTAATGATTGTATACGTTACAGAACTCAAAATATATTGTTTTATTACTAATAGACAGCTCACTAAATGTTAAATAACTATCACATTTCTTACACAGTCAAAGTGATATAGAACTGTAATGCGATAAAGGCTTGCCTGGAACGACTCTGGCTATGCATTTATCTGAAAATAAATGCACACCTTAATGTTTATAAGCAGAATCAAGCATTCGTCAGCACTGTAGTATAAGATTTACTATTTAGCCAGACAAAAAATGAAGAAATACTTGGATAACAGCATAACATTACTCAGCATCATCCAAAAGCATGCACATTTTATAAAAAGAAAGATATAAAAGTGAACAGACCACACACACTGATGTTACAGTACTCCCAAGGGGTGTTTTTGTCCATCGTGTAACACCACGGACGAACATCATTATTGGGATTGCGGCAGAAGTTGTCATCCAGACCTTTACCTACATGCCTGTACATCCAAACACAGAAGAGCAAGTTGTAAATCACATATGTTTGTGTGTATGTATGTATGTATGTACTTGTGAATGTGTACCTGTGAGGCTGGTAGGTGTGTTTATGAGGTTTCTGCGAGTCCCATCTCTGGCACTCTTTCCCACTCTCTGTATGATCCATGGGCCCTCTGTAGGTTTCCCCATTACATTTCATACACTCCACTATGAACACACACATAAACATGTTATGCGTGTATTTGGAATTAAACACTCCAAATGCACAGATATTACGCAGACAAGTTCACCAATACCACCTATGCACTGAAAAAAAAATAGTGAAGTCAAGATGAGGTGATGTCTTACCATCTGAACACTGAGGCAGTCCACAATCCTGGTGCCGGGTCTCAGTGAGTTCAGTGAAGCACCAGGGCCCATTTGGATCATTGTCTGGATTTCGGCAAAAGTTCTGACGTAGGTCAGACTTTTTGTGTCTGGTAGGCTTAAAACTGATATACAGACAAAAAGAGAGGGAAAAAGGTTAAAAAATGTAATGTACCAGATTCTATCCTATGTCTTATCCTGCTCCTGGTAGAACACTGTCCTGAAGAGATGTACAGTTAATCCTAATTATACAAAACTGAATCAGCCAACTAAGGTCTTCATGGAGACTAGAAAGTTACAAGCAGAAGTGTTGGTCCAGGTTCATATAAAATATGTTAAAGAATGTTGGTCCTCCAGGACTGGTATTGGACAGATCTAGTCACATTCTGGCAGAGTTTAGCTCACACCTTAATTAAATACACCAAAAGCTGTTTAAGGTCTCGGACAGGGGTCACTCAACCTTGTTCCTAAAAAGAGCTACCTTCCAGCAGAATTCTGCTCGAACACTGGTCAAACACACCTGAACATCTGAACTTATTAATTAGTACCAGAAGCAGCGATTGACAATTGCAGACAGGTGTGTTTGGTCAGGGTTGCAACTGAAATCTACAAGAAGGAAGCTCTCCAGAAACAGGGTTGGTGACCCCTGGTCTAAAAGATTCCCATTTTAATGGGACCAGTGCCCTGCAAAGTTTACTTCCAACTTGCATCAACACACTTTCCAGGAGGTTTCTAGTATGCTAGTTAGAGCTTGATTAGGTGGTTCAGGTGTGTCTTATAGGTATTGTCACTAGCCCTCCAGGACCAAGCTTGGGCACCCTTGCTCTAATCCATTCGGAAAGTCTCATCCCTATAACCTATTCCCTTCAAAGGGTTTACAAATTCAAAAGGAAAAGGGATGAAACTTCCAAATGGAGTGTGTCGTTCAACACTCAAAAACTTCCCTGTGCAAAAGATTATGGGGGTCTGAAATGTCAATCAGTTGTAGCCTTCAAAATCCTTCTCTTCGCAGGGTCAGGTTTGTGTGCTTCAGTTTGGAAGACTTCAATATGGGAACCATGATTGTTTTCACCATAATTCTTTATCACATTTGGAGCACAAAGTCTGAGAGGGTATACTGGAGAAAGAGTTTTACCTCTGGAGCCTAATTAGATATACCTTTATGTACTAGGTACTACAACCATATGTTGCAGTGTTTTTTCAACTACAATTCTGGGGAGGTACCTGCCAGAATGTTTTAGATGTCTGTTTAAAAACATGATTCAACTCATCAGCTCCTTAGTGTGCTGAGTACAGAGACATCTAAATCATTCTAAGTGGGTTTTGAGGACTGGAGATAAGCAGTACAAAAGATGTATGGATGGTCTTCTACATGTTTTCTCAAAGTGTCCTGTTAGCGCAAACTCTGATCAAACATATCTGCCTGTACCAACCATCTAATGACTCTGATATGACTTGCTTCCTCAGCTGTTTTAGTTTACATTAGGAGCTAAATATTGCACGACAAGACTTTTACTTTTTTCCTTTATGACCCAATTTGAGAAACCCTGGTTAGCCATGTTGATTTGAATGAATCAGACCTAAACCATACTGGACAAGCTAATGACTAAAAATGACCATATTCAACCAGCTAGAACAGAAACGATGTAAAACCCTCTCAAGGTGTCTGAATCTAAGCCAACCTAAACCAAAACACCCAACTCCTAAAGTCCCAAGCTCTTCTAAAATATTAAAATAAGCTAAAATGGCACCAAACAAAAAGACAAAAAATTTAACAAAGACTAAAAGCATACAGAGATCATACATCAGGCGTACAGGCAGAGTAGAAAAACTGCTTAAACAACTTGGTTACGACAGGCGTGTGGTGCTGGAATAGGCTGTATTCCTGCATCTGGATCTTGTGGCTGGTTCCACATGAGGCCTGAGATCTCAACAGCTAATGATGTTGTGCTAACAGATGTTAGCCAGCTATTCCTGTATGGCTGCCAACAGACGCTCTTGCACTCTGTATGCAATTTGAACAGAAATGTTAAACTTTCTTTAATCCCACTTACAACACCAGGAGGTCATTTGGGTCGGAAATGGGTGATTTATTGAAAACGATCCGTTTGTGTTTGTACAAAAGGTTCAAGTTTTTTCAAAGTGACATTTCATGGCAGCAGGTTGGCATTGACTACAGAATCAGCGCCAGTACCTCATTGATACAAAAGGGACTTGCATGTTTTGCCTTCCCTTAGAAGATTTACTTGGTGGTCATTACATTCTGATCACTTTCTGCTGTTTCCCCGTTTGTCTTGGCCGAATAGATGAGGCAGGTGGTCACATTGTGCTGGTGGATAAATTGAGAGATTTGAATTTGAGAGGAAAAAGATCTTATCACATGGAAAAAAGGTTTGAGGGGAATCAAGTCGGAAAGTACTGTAATCCATAGGGAGGAGAGGGACTGGATTAGCATCTGTGTGTGCTAGTCTCGAATGCTGCTCGTATTTTAATGTGTCTGCGGCTTTGTGAGCTCAGCTGGAGGGCAGACAGAACATGACTTCAGTCCATAAATCCTCCTTCTCTGGTTCTTTCTCTATCTTTCTTTCATTCTCTCACCTCTAAAATCTTTATACAGCTTGTAAGCAGTGTAGCTCGCTAATAACATCTTGGCTAACAAGGACCTGGCAACAACTGACCACATTAACCAGACTGGCTCGTGTTCAGTCAGTCAAGACATCACTCCGTACAGTTCCATGTAACTTCTGTTGTGCAAAAGATGACTCTCAAACAAAGCAACCTCATCTGCAGTCTAGACTAATCAGCAATTGTTGGCAGACAGCACGTTGGCGGCAATTAATGGCTAGTGTCTAAATGAACGCAAAATGGCTAGCTGTCAAAGACCATATGAAAGCTGCAAATAAGGAGCTTACTGAAAGAATGAGTTACAAAGCGAGCGGTTTTAAAGACAGAGGTGGGAATTCACCATGGTTTGCGTTGTTTATTACTTGCCCAACCCTACCCGAACACCTTATGTCCAAGCCTGACCTGGTCCAACACATTAGCTGTAAATATGAGCCTGAGCCTGATTTAAACCTGACTATTTTTTAATATGTAGGGTGCTATAACAGACGTTCTCAACTACAATTTGTATATCTTAATGAATAACGGAACAAGGACGAAGCATGAAACTGCGTTGTTTTGTTATTCAGAATCGATCAAAAGAGGACATTGAAGGCGGACTATCATCCTTTCTGGCATGGAAAGCCTGCTTCATGTGTCTGTTCATCGTGAAAGTCCCCGTTCTTTTACTAACACCTCTTTAAAACGGCATGCGTGTTTTTCGGTGGCCATGTTTACAGGTTACAACTTTCATATCACACACAGAAGCAGCGTGTCAGTGCTGCGGTCATTTCGGTGCTGGGTCTATTTTTGCCACTGCTCATGCTCAATTAAAGTGACAGTGCATTGATCATGACCAAAACACATTGAATAACAATAAAAAGTAGCAATTTTAGCCAATAAATCAGAGGTGCCTAAAATTGGTCCTAGAGGGCCGGTGTCTTGCAAATTTTAGCTCCAACTTTCTTCAACACACCTGCATGGATGTTTCTTAAAAGCCTCGTAAAAGCTTGATTAGCTAGCCTAGGTGTGTCTGATAGGAGTTGGAACTAAAGCAGGACATCAGCCCTCCAGGACGAGTTAGGGCATCCCTGCAATAAATGCATGGATAAGATCCACTTTTTATACACTGTTTCTGCTCTTCATATGCAATGTGCATGCTGTGCTTCACCTTTGCTTACGCGCGCGGTGCGAATATGTGCCAGCAGAGGAGATGCTGCTGCAGGAGCTAGAGCATTGCTGCGCATGACACACCATGCAATGCGAATTGTGCACTTTTATAGACCTACACGTGTTCCTCAGGCCGGCTTTGCTAAAATATTTGTATAATATTTCTAATTATGGCATAGCGTTTCATCCAATTAGGCTAATTACGCAATGACTAAAACAAAACCACACAAATGCTTGATCATGGCCCGACCCGGCCTGAAAATAGTTGCAGGAAATATTGGCCCGACCCACTGGTCAAGTCTGGGCTCGGGCAGAAAATCTAAACTCTAATTTTTCTGTGTAAAAGAAAACAAATACTGTTTACATGAAGGGAAACAGAAATAAATGATATTCACACTGAGTGCAAATAGGGTTGGATAATGTTTGCACACAGTGCAAATCACAACAATTAGTATCTTGTTTACCAATGTAAATAGTGATAAATTCTATGCACACAAGTCTAAATAGAAGTGATGTACTGTTTATACTATAATGCTGTATTTGAACGCACCGGATGCGTTGTAGTTCGTAATTTACTAAAGAACCAGAGGTGTATTACCATTGTGATACCACAACATGTCAAGCAAGATCTTGTTCCTGCCTGAACTATTTTTAAAGATTGAGATTATATTTATTGTCGGACTATGAAAAGAAAATGCCCCCAGTTTATTTATTTTTTTTAAATGTATTTTGTTTTCAAATGAAAGTAAACTTTTTTTTTTAATTTGTTTAAAATCTGTGTGAAATCAAAATTTAGTTGACATTATAATTCTTTGTGTGAACAATTAATCCACGCTGGAAAAAAAAAAACTTGTTTTGGTAATCTTTAATCAAAGTCTGACCTTTTTCTTCCACATTTGGAGTCACAGTCCTTAATGGCATCACCCACAATAAAAGTCAAAGTAAGTCAAAATCTCAGCGACTTCATGTGATCTTTAAATTAAAAACAAATTATAATTAAATGCACAAAATTAAATAGTCAATTACTGGATGATGACAATACATTGTAGATGGTGGCAATAATTAGACTCAACTGCATTTAAATGTTTATATATTTAATTTTTACTTATACAGAAACAGTGATTACAGCAGCGCTCTCAAACTTAAATTAGCGGGGGGCCATTTTAGTGACTTACAATACATAGGAGGGTCGTTTTAACATTCTAGCACAAGAAAAAGAGGGGAAACCTGATGTAATTGATGCATTTTAGGACAAAAGACATGATATATATAATTCAAGCATTAACTGTCATCTGCAATAATGCAAATCAGCACATTTATCGTGTCAGGTTTATTGTGTTATTATTCTGTCCCAACCAATTGTATTGTCCCAGTAGCGTAAGAACAGCAGAAAGCAATTTGGTGACTTTAATGGCAATTGTTCTTCTCAGTATCTTTCTCTTTTTTTTTGTAAAAATACAACAAAGAGGGGAAAAGTATGTACATATTCTCATTTACTTCAACAAGTTCAGCTAGCAGTACAATTTTACTAACGTAAAGTTTTTATGCAAATCTTAACAAGCATATGAGGAAAAGCTACTAAATGAGACCATTTCAATCAAGAATTAGCTAAATTATAATATTTGTTGAACCACCAACATAACATGTAAGCCTGAAGAAGTGTTTTTACAACAAAATACAAGTGGAATAAACTGAGAATAATCAAACAACCCTTGAATACTTACAATAATAGAGCTTTAGTAAAAATAGAGCACTTACAGACATATATTTCAACGTTTCAATCAGCCACAGAATTAAAACACTACCCTACACTGAGAGAAAAAGCAAGTAACACTAATCTGAATGCAGTACTTTAAATGTCGACAAGGTGGTGGGGCATAACCTCAAATGGCTAGACGCAACTGCACAACAATAAGTGGTTTAAAAATATATGTTTTGGTGGGCCGAATCTCGTTATATTTTTGACGTCAGTTGCTGGCGGGCTGGCAGTTTGAGACCCCTGGATTACAGCTGAATCCACCTCCGGACCTTAAAGTTGCTTTAGCAGTTTAGTAAATTCCCCTCAGAGAAAAAAAAGGCAAAAAAGTAAAACTTTTTACTTGTGCTCATGTGGGACGGACATATTCCAGGATTGGCACGTAATTCCAGTCTTTGTGAATGACCTTCTCCCCTTGTAGTTGACACCTGACCCAATGATGCACTCCCTCACATAGTCTGTGGAGAACATACAGCACACAAACATTCATATAATCCATAACGATGAATTTTGTTTAGAGATTACACATTTTGCTGACGTCCTGAGGTGATTTAAGCCTCCAAACAAGAGTGTTACTGATGATTACGGCATAAATCTACATTTCAGCTCCGACTCTTACTGGAAGCATAAACATACGCCATCTTGTAAGCGTCAACACTTATCGCTCATGGTTTCTCATGCTCTGTCTGCTGCCAAATGACTTCAGCATGTGCTGTTTACGATGACGAAGATGACTTTATACGATTTTACACGTAAAGCCAGGGATCTAAACAAACACAACTGGCACAGTTGTACAGGAATTTCCAGGAAGCTAAAAAAAATCAAGTGTGAGCGAACTTCTTCGAAAGGGAATAAAAAATATTTACCTTTCTTCTCGTAAAGGTCACAACTGGGTTTTCGCTCTCTCTTCGCGCCTTCGGAGAAACGGTCAAAAGGAAGAAAGTGACATTTCCTGTTTATGTGGTCAAAGTAGAATGCCCTGTAAGGAAGCAAAGATAGAAAACCAAGAAAACGAAAGACAATCGTTGGGTCAGACATCCAGGAGGTTTAGATGAAGCTTGTTAAATCAATAGTTAATCCAAAAATATCAATTACATCCACATTTAGTCACCTTAATCTTCAACCATCCAAAACAACACTGATCCACAATGATTTTAATTGTACAGTCAACATTTTTGTGACTTTAAATGTGTATGAGTGATCATGTGTGTGTCACCTGCAGGACTTCTTGCTCTTGCTACATTTGCGTGCGCATTCCTCCAGCGACAGGTTCCTAATTCGAGGGGATTCTGGACAGTCTGTACAAAGCAGTCGGCTGTTTTCACTTTTCTGATACCTCTGCAATGTCTGTTTTCTGCAATCTGCACAAAAGAGACGAGGAGATTAAACAAACACATATGCAGATACTTAAACACACACATGTAAACTCATAATCTCTTTTATGTGAGAGCTGTCAGAAGGGCTATTTTCAGGAAATGCTGGCATTTGTGCACACTTTAAAGTTGATATTAGTTGACAGATTTTACAACACTGTAAGAAATGATATCTCAGCATAATTTTGGGTCAAATATGGACAAGCCAAACTGTTTAGATTCAACTTAAATTTATTTTGTTTTATTGTAAATGGCTGGTTTTGTCAATATTTGACCGCAAAATTCGGTTTTATACCAATGTATTGAACTAAATCTGACAGAGTAAGAAACTGATCAGCATTTCCATGCTTTTACATTAGTAAAATCAGATTAGGATTTGTTATCTTACGACTGTCTCTTCTGCTGAAATGAATGAGAGGCTGGCGAGAGGGGCTCAGACTCCCATTTCCACACATGTGTGTGTGTCATGATTCACTGCACTCTGGTGGTCCAAGGACGTTCCTAAAGTCAACTTTCATGTGCAAAGCTTACTTGGTTACTCTTATTAAAATATATCCATATATTAGGGTTTTCCAGTCTGACATTTCCTTAAATCATCAATTTTTGCCACTAAAGCATTCTTAAATGTTGACTTTACATGAATACTACTGCACTGTACAGCATTTGTAGGTTTTTTTAAGGAAGGTCACAAGTATCCCTTCAAAAATGTTGACTCAAACACAAACTGTTAGGACTTATGGAGGCATCTAGGACAGGGTCAAACTTGAGGGAATCATTCTTTTTTTAACTTCTTTGGCTCAAAAATTGTAGTAAACAATTTGTTTTAAAAGTCAGTGTTCAAGAACCACTGAATCTTTATTGTTACCAGTTTAAAAAATAAAAAAACCTTAAAACTGCCTGTTGCTTACAGAAATCTGCTGAAGAAATTCCTTATCTTCCGTAACTAGGACTAGTGGCCTAACTATGAGATCATTTTGGGATCCATTTTACATTTATGCAACACTTTTATCTAAAACATCAAGAGCTGTATTGGAGTCACATATTTAATTAGGTCTTAAGTTCCATGGGATTTAAACCCACAACTTTGGCATTAGCACTAAAATTTAAGCTACAGGAAGGCACCTTTGGGATGAGTTATAATATTTAAAGACTGATAAGGGAACTTTGTATGTCTCTCATTGGCTGTGTATTATCTCACTTCAAATGAGATCTGAACCAGCTTTTCGTAAGTATTTTAGAGGCTTACAAGAAAAAATAATGCTCAAGACTACATCCTTCTGAAGTATGTTGCCTGTGTGCCTCCTGAGGCCAGGGAGGTCAAGTTTACTCACCCAGCTCCTACTAGACCATTCAGCCCTCAATTACAATTACCACCCAATTCCTCAGTCTTATCAAGGTCATAGAATTAACATAACCACTCCAGTGCTCCAAGTAGCATTTAAACTAGTTGTTCCGGCATGGAACATCATTGAGTGTGCCTCAAGGGCAGCAGAATGAGGTTTACTCACGTAACTCCAACTAACTTGCCTCCATTACATTTAACCCCAAAAGAGAAAGCGTCACCAGGGTCCTGCAGTGCCATGAGTTAAGCTCCAAATTGCCTCGACACACCTGCATGTTTAAAATACCTATTGAGTATTGACCTTATTCTAAAATGCGGAAGTGTGCCTGTTTTCGCGATTGTTTTAGAACTTCCGATTCAGTCGCCTCTGGGAGAAATGACTAGGAATAATAAACGGCAGAAAGCGGTTAAACTACTTGCTCTACAAACAAATGTTTGCATTACTATATAGACCAAGTCGAATAAATTAATTAGAAAATATCAGTTTGCAACATCAAGCAGCGTAACGAGCAGTTTTTAACGTCTAAACATGAATGGAAGTAAACAAGACGGGAAGTCTCGAGCCAAAAAGATTCAAATGGCTGCGCCCGTTCGTCGGCAAAGAATAAGGTGAATACCTACTGTAGTAAGACATAAGCTGTTTCTCTCTTCCAAGAATGCAGAGAATAGTCTTGCCAAGTTACCTTGAAAGAACGAACAAACTTGACCACGAGTACACAGAACGCGTCCTCTAAGAAATGAGACGCTGCATTCTCCCTGATGATCGCATGACCTTTATGTGTTTTTACAGAAAATAATTTAAACATTACAGCATTCATGCAACAATTTATTGATTTGTTTTTTTCCTATTCAATATATATGCACAGAGGTCCTACAAAGATACTTTGCAGGATACAAATAAAACAGATTTTAACACGAATTTTAGCAAATAAAACCTCTTAATGTGTTTAGGCCTTTATTAAGATTTGCCTGTGAGTGTTAATTTTTCTCATTTAAGGAAACTCCCGAGAAAAATAAGTTATATCTCTGAAATTTAATAATAAATAGGTATATAAAATGATGCACATGCCACCTCCTTTATTTAGCAGAAATGACTTCTGAGACTTCTAAAGTGAGCACTGCGCTAAAGTCTGCATTAATGCAACCTCTATAACAATAACACATTTGGGTTATTTCACATGGGAACACAAGGACCCAGGAATGCCTAAAAACGCATCTTGAGAAACAGACTTTGATTACATTGTTCAGGTGTGTTTGATTGGGGTTGGAGTTCAAATCTGCAGTACACCACCCCTCCTGGAGCACCACAAGAACAGGAGGAGTTTAGCTTTTCCAGCTAGCCTCCATCACATTCATAGTTCTAAATCTCACTCTAATTTGGATGGTATCATCATTGTCTCTTTTAGATGGACATTTCAATAAGAACACGCACAAGGCCACAAGTCCCAAGTGCACTAGTCAAGGCCAAGCCAGTAAGGATTACTCACACAGCTCCTACCAACTTGTCTCCATTCCACTCTGCCCCTTAAACTTCACTCCTATACAAGTCACAGAATTAAATGTAACCATGCAGTTTGATCTTACTCTGCTCTGATCAGGATTTAAACCAACTAACAACAACACTGAAGATCATTGAGTTACTAATGAACCTCTTGAGGCCATGCAAGTAAGGCTTAGTCATCCTGTCCTACTAGTCAGTCTCCATTATGCTCATCGTCCTAAACCACATATCAAATTCAGGGGAGCAATTGAATCATTCAAGAGCTCAAGTGGAATTTAAACCAAGATTTAAGGCACTGAATGAAGCTGGATGCTCAAACAAGAAGACTAAAGGCTACAGCTAATACTAACTGGGCCACCCGCTAAACCTCACTTCTATCCGGGTCACAGCATCAACCAAGGGCTCACAAAATCTAGTAGCCCAAAGTCCCGGGGCTATTGTTTTTTTTTAGTCTAGCTACCAAAATCATCTACATCTTGCCCGACAGGTGAGCAGTGTAGTGGTGCAATGGGTAGCGCTGTCACCTCACAGCAAGAAGGTCGTTGGTTCGAGCCTCGGCTATGTCAGTTGGCATTTCTGTTTGGAGTTTGCATGTTCTCATGTGCGTGGGATTCCTCGGGGTGCTTTGGTTTCCCCCACAAGTCCAAAGACATTCTCTATAGGTGAATTGGGTAAGCTAAATTGTCTGTAGTATATGTATGTGAGAGTGAATGGGAGTTTCCCAGTGATGGGTTGCATCTGAAAGGGCATCCGTTGTGTAAAACATATGCTGGATAAGTTGGCAGTTAATTCTGCTGTGGCAACCCTAGATTAATAAAGAGACTAAGTCGAAAAGAAAATGAATGAATCTCGATAGTCCGCTGTGCATGGTGTTAATAGATTTTGATAGCCCAACTGAAAAAACAATAGCCACAATAGCCAGATTTTGTGAGTTCTCTGGTTCTATTCACCCCACTTTGTTAGGAAGCCCTAACAACATTTGCTAATGCTACTTTTGAAGCCAGGGGAGTGGGTTTACATGTACAGCGCTTACTTGCAGGCCTCTGGTAGAGTCACTTCCCCAAACTCACTCCTGTCTGGGTCACGGCACCAATGTAACCCCTTTGGTTCTACTTGCACTTATTCAAATAGGATTTGAACTGGTGTCTCCAATACAGCTTCTACTCATTTCCTCCATTAAATGGTCATAGACATGGAACTGTTCTGCTCAGTAGCCCTGATTGGCAAGTGATTTGATAAACTGTTAAAATCGCCAGCATGAGGTATCACTCCTCAGTCTGATTCAGACACGCGCAGTACTGCCTGTGGCTGAAGTGGTTTTGGTGAGAACACATTATTAATGTTTGCGCTGCATCTGAACACATCTGGATTTGATCGAGCTGCTCTTCAAACATTGATCTTTTCCTTCAGCGCCCCAATTAGACTCCTTTAAATTCCTCTTTCTGGCCTGTCGGGGGCATCTTTATCTTTAAGCCTGCTTATTAGATTTGGCTAAATCTCTTCCTTAAATAACAACGGGACGATGTTTATGGTAGCAATGAGCACGGGCATCAGTGAAACATCAGCATTAATGGTTTCAGTCTGACTCACTAATGTCCTTTCCTTTCCTAGAGCTTCAGTGAAAGTTTGAAGAGCTTCTCATTCAGTGTTTACGCTGCACATCTGGTCCAGCGAATATTTGCAATAGTGAAATATGGAAGAAATGGCTCTGTCCAGATGTTGCACAGCACGTTGATAACGCTTGCTTTAGAGAGTCCATTCACCCCACATGTGTTTTTGCCCATCGCTGGAAATGTGCACTCTGGGAAGGGTCTGTTACTTTGCTGCAGTGTATGTAATGATGCATGACACTTGTATTCAGCATCAGTTTCTGATGCTGGAACAAGACAACAGTAGCATTATTATTGGCACTTTTATGAACAAAAATAATTGGGCCCCCTAAAGATAATAATGCATAAAAGTGCTTTAATAAAACACACAATGGTAATATTTTACTGATCAAAATGTGGGGTTTAAATCCTACAATCTACCAGCCTTTTTTTTTTTTATCACATATGCTCTGCACTACGTGATGCATGTAACATCTCCAGGCTTCAGTTTATGACACTGAAACATGAGAAAGGCTCAATGGATTTGTGTAAAATCCAAACTAAATATACATTTGTGTAAACTGAAACACTTTGAAAAACTGTGGCCCCCCTCAACATATATCAAAACCCCCCACAGATTGTTTACTCCGCTTTAATTGCATTTTTATCTTACTTGTAGCCCCTTAGCTTATTTATTCTCCCAAAACCTGGGAGGATTTACTTTTACTAAACTAAATTACATTTTTGAATATTAATTAAGCTCAAATTAATGTGGAGGAAATTATGAAAACTGTACCAAACTGTAAAAAATACCTTCCTCATAATAATATCTCGAACTTCTATTCGATTGCATGAGTTCATCATCACTGAAGTAATCCAATGTGGCAGAAAAAGCGCAGCGAGTTTACAGCTGCAGGTTGTAACTTTGGCACCACTTTGCAGCAATTAAACTCCATTCAAAGGTAAAAAAGTTTAATCAAACCCATTTTAGAGCACCGAAAGTGAGACTTTGCGGTCTGTTTTGTCATCAAATCATCTGTTCTAAATGCATAACATAAATTGCATAAACGTCCAATTTATAATTTATAGGAATAACAACTGAGGTGAAAATGCCATCTGCTCAAAAACAATACATCACACACACACACACACAAACACCAAATAACTTCAATAATATTTTTCAAAAGCATTATAACGCTAACATTTTCAGCACGATTCAAATTAAACACGTTTAGACAATCAATTACGCATTATGACTTGAAGTATGCTGGTCACTTACCCACATTCACGGTCAGTACGACAAAGAGAAGAGCTTGATACATCCACATAATGTCCGATCTCATGTTTCTCGGTTTGATATTCCAGGCTGTGGGATGGAGAGTCTATAAAGTCCGAGTTGATGCTGCTGCTGCTGCTGGTGTGAAGGATGAACAGGATCAAACCGCAGCGACTGCTCTCTCACTCTCTCTCTCTTTCTCAAGCACACACTACCACACGCGCGCGCGAAACATTAGCGTTTATTGGGGGCTCAATCTAGAATTTGGGAGTGGATGTGTGATTTTTGAGAACATAGACGGAGGAACGCGTCATTTCCTACAGAGCTGATTTAAAACCACATAGGCGTGCAGATCAAAAAGTGAAGGCTGACTAATAATAATTTCACTTTGAAAGTGTAACTTGCGTGTCATCCTCACGTGGACCATATGTGTGGGCTAATTAGAAATAATAATAATAATGATAATTTATTCTTTAATATAATGTGTTAAAAGATACATCAAATGAGGGAAATAGACACCTTAATAATGTACAACATAAAAAGTATAGTGCCTAATGCACATTACCTACCGCACAATACCTAATGCACATATGGCTATGATTACACATAGTTATCAAAGATTAAGTTAAATTACTTAACAATCATCGTGTCATCAAAAGGAAATTCTAAAAATCTCAGTAGGCACAGGATGTCAACATGATGTCAGATTGACATTGTAGCCTACCTTAAAGCTGTGGGGGCGCCATTTTGTTTAAAAATCAAGATCGGGTTTATGTCAGAACCCAACTTCAGGCCTACATCGATGTCCAACCTAAAGTCAACCAAATATAAGCATCTAATGGTGTTACAGCTTAACGGGGTTTGGACATTACCACTATGATGTCTATGAGATGTTGGATTTCGGTTACTTTACAACACAACTTAAATCAACAACATTTATATGTCATATGATGTCGTTATTGGACTTCAAAATATTGTCGTCCTTAAAAGCTGGCTAAACATTGAATTTTGGTTACCTGACGTCACAACCTAAATCTAATCTAATTAATATTAGCGTCTTATGACGTTGTGTGCGTGCTGGGATTGTCCTGGTCAGTCTTTTCCATGCTATTATTAATCAGCTTGCTTTAGAGCTATACAATTTCAAGGACACAAAAACCAATAAATAGTTATGTAAATATGGTCCGTACGTCTAACACACAGGCCCGTGCAGAGACCGTCCAAAGGGCATGTGCAGGATAAATTTTTTGATGAGGGGGGGGGTGTTGCGCGCGTACTGAAGAGCGGTGTTGTCGCGCGCGTTCTGATCAGCTGTGTTGTCGCACGCGTACTCGAGCGGTGTTGTCGCGCGCCTACTGAAGAACGGGACCGAGAGTGTGCCGCGTCGCGGGGGAACTTTTGATCATTTTGGAAGGGCACATTCTATCCAAGACTAAAAAGGGCATGTGCACTGCACAGGTTGAGCCCTATGTGTGCACGTGCCTGCTAACACATAATAGGTATTATATCTAAAACCGGTTATGTGTCTTCTGGCTTAAATTTATAAAAAATTTGAACAACAAAATAGCATTCTCAACCAATTTAATCATAGCAAAACAATTATACAGTATAAAAATGTATAAACGTCAAGATATTCTTCTTAATTTTTTATAATTGAGTAAGTGGTCCAAACCATTCAGTGTGATTTATTCATTCATTCATTCAAAATGAACCGCCAACTTATGCAGCACGTTTTACACAGTGGATGCCCTTCCAGCTGCAACCCAGTACTAGGAAACATTCATACACAGTCATTCACACACATACACTATGGCCAATTTAGTTTATTCAATTCACCTATACCACATGTCTTTGGACTGTGGGGGAAACTGGAGCACATGGAGGAAACCCACGCTAATATGTGGAGAACAAGCAAACTCCACAAAGAAATGTCAACTGGTCCAGCCAGGAATGGAACCAGCGACTTTCTTAATGTAAGGGAAACCACTGAGCCACCATGCCATCGTCAATATCATTTAGTAAACCAAAAATTCCATACAGCCTTATTGAAGCTATATAGAGCATAAAATGAGAGCTCTAAGATTAACATACTGAAATCTGAATATCTGTAACCTATCAGGAAGTCGTTAATAAGCAACTGACCTTTCTAAAATATGCAAGTTCACATAATTTATGGGAAGTTCAAGTCAGTCAGGGAATATTTACTTGTAATTATTGCAGCTTTAAACCTCAAGCACTCTGATATTGCAACACTTTTAAGTGAGAAAAATAATGCATCGTCGATATCAATGACAGGACCAATGGTTAAATAAAACAGTCTCTGAAAAGGGCATCTCAGAGGACCGCCCTTTGGCTTTTAGCATTAATACTCTTTCACTATGCTTATCCAGAGAGAAAACCAATCCAAGGAAAACCACAAAGTGGACTTCTGAGGAGTTACAGCACATGAAAACTAAGTTATCCGAGACATTAAAACAGTCATCTGCCAGGCCACCTCCAGACAGAGTGGTTTGATTGCAAATCTGAAAGAGAAATCGTGGAGGTGATGGGGAGTAAGCGAATGGCTGATCACTTTGCATCCACCCAGTTAGTCCAATATATGCAATATATAGGCATCAATAAAGACTTCTGATGGATGTCTCCTGCTCTGTATGGTGGCTGTAGTGGCACAGCTGGAAGCAATCCCATTCCGATTGCCGAATGTGGGGCTTCATGTTTAACTAAGTGTTCCTGAGTATTTAGACGCAAACCATGTGGAGGGCACAATCGTTATTTCACAGGAAATCCACACTTTGGCCGTTAATGGGCAGTTCTAAATGCCCTCTAGAGAGCGAGAGAGAGACATAGAAAGAGAGGTGAAACACAGACCTCAAATTCCTTCTCATTAAGTCGCGTGGAACTTTTAAAGTCAGGCTAACTGTTGAAATGTTTGCATTGTGGTATGTGTGGCGAGCAGGTGGGCCCAAGCGGCATGCAGGCCATGCAGGCAGCAGCGGTGGAGCCCAGGTGTCAGCGTGTCAGTCGGAGGGAGAGAGCTGTGCCTGGAGAGAATGTGGCCAGATTAAATGCCTGGACTTAAATACATCAGGCTGGGCTTTGACCACCACCCAATCCCCATGGGCAGATTGGCCTGGTGAAGCCCATTACTAAGCTGCACAAACGCACAGTCCAAAAGAATTCCTCCCTGTTTCACTGCAGGTTTTACTGTGAAAAGAACTAGTTTTACAATGAGATGAAAGAGTCTTTAATAAGCAGTTGTCAATGATACAGGCCCATTTGTCGGAACATCTGTGCATGTCATGCATCACACTCCAGAGTGACAGCTGAGTCTGTGAGGACAAGAATTTCTTCATCTAAGGCCCTGTGTTCAGGACAGTCAGTGTGAAAGTCGAATCAAAAGTGGTCAATGCTAAATACTAAATATTACACAGCTTGTTGAATAAGTGTAAAAAGCAGAGGTGGGGGACTGCAGACTTAAGTCGCAAATTTTAGGACATCAGTTACATGACTCTAAATAACTTTGTAATATGTTTCATGTTAAAAAAGTTCTGTGACTTAATTTAAAATCCTCTCCCTGACTTCCAGTAGCTGTGAGGAAAATGGGACACAAGTTCTATGTATAACCAGTTAAATCATTAAATATATGTATTAATTCACAGTGACTTGCTTAATCCAAGGTACAAAGGTATGACTTGGTTGGGACTTGATTGCTACCAAGGGGAACCCCCGCCCCTGCAGTGGCTTGAAGTTGTTGTTATGATTGCATCATTGCACTTCTATTAGTTCATGGTTTGACGCTCATTCCAGCTGAAGTCACATTTCAGGAAAGTGTCTAAAATCAGAACTTCATTGGAGGGAGAACAATGTAAAGACCAACAAGCTCTAGGATTTTCCAAATTTGTCTCAGATAATCAAATCATGGCTGAAATTGCACAGTGGCTCAGCAGAAGTCTTTGAAGATGACTTTATTTAATTTTACACCTAGAGCCATCAATCTAAACAAACTGGAGCAGTGGTGGCCTAATGTTTAATGGTGCTCAAACTCGGTCCTGGAGGGCCGGGATCCTGCAAACTTTAGTTCCAACCCCAATGAGACATACCAGGGCTAGCTAATTAAGCTCTTACTAAGCTTTCTAGAAACACCCTTGCAGGCAAGTTGAAGCTAAAATCTGCAGGACACCGGCCCTCCAAGACAGAGTTTGGACAACCCTGGTTTAAAGAATCTGACTTGTGATCCGATGGTTGCAGGTCCAAGTCTTGTAAACAGCAGGGATTCTAGGTAAGGGTAGTGAATGACCAGTACTTACAGTACCCTGTCTTAGGTGAGAACCTTGAGCAAGGCACCAATTCCCCAACTGCTCCCCACACAGTCCACAGCTCTGGGTGTGTGTTCAGTATGTTTGAGTCACTTTGAATAAAAGCATATGCTAAATATGCAACTGACTGATGCTAGAGCCTCCTATGCCTGTTCAAATCCTGCTTGGAGAGTTGAGAGTGGAACCAGAAGGGTTGTTTGGTGCCATGACCCGGATTGGAATGGGGTAAATACATGAATGTATCAGTGGCTAGCAAGCTGTGGGGGAAGCTTCGCTTTTCGGATTTCGCTTTCCCCATCTCCTATGCGAGAATAAAATGGTTTGAATCAACATTTGTACAGCTTTTACTTGTTCCAAACCTGTTTGAAATTCTTTCTTTGGTTGAATTATTTTGAAAGAAGGATATAATTGTATGATTGCAGGTTAGCTATGTATATATACTGTTTAACCTATACACAACACCCTAACTCTGTTTGTAAAGATGATTTGGAATTATAATTACAATAAAATATGTAACTATAAACTTGTTGAAGTTGGAAACCTGTAACTATTGTTTTTTTTTCTACATTGACGTTGTACCTCAGTGTCATGAGGACATTGCAATTTGTTTGGAAATTAAACGGCAGACGTCAGAACCCAACGTCAGAACCCAACTTTAGGTTGACAACAATGTCCAAACTAAAATCAAACAAATATCAACATCTAATGAGGTTACAGCTTGTCTATCATATGTTGGATTTTGGTCACTTTCCAACACAATCTAAAATCAACCACAGCTTTCTTCAAAATATCTTAATTGTTCAACAGAATAAAGAAAACTTTACTACTTTAAAAGAAGAGATGCTCCCTAGCAAAACCCTGAACAGGCACACGTTTTCTCTAGAAAATGTACTATTCTAGAGCTCGGTTCTCTCCTCAGCTTCCTTTATCTCACTGATCCTGACATCCTGGCTTGGTACCGGCTCAACCAGAGTCAATGAGTTTAATCGTGTGATCCTCCTCCAAAAATTGCTTGTTCCTTTTAAAGAACACTTCATTAAAGTACCATCAGAACTCCCGTCTAAACCTCAGCCACTCCTCCAATCTCTGTCTCATTCATTAATTGCCATTCTTATTCTTTCTGATTGTATCTGTTTGTCACACTCCCAAACAGTCTCTATCTCCATCACTGCCTTTACTCAAACTCTCCTCATCAGCGTAAGCGCTGTCGCCTCAGAGGAGAACGTATGCTGCAGCTTCAGGCGTTATATTGCAGCTGGACAGAGAAAAGGCTCAGATATCAAGGGAGGAAAAGCAAACCGTGAGCACAGAGGTCTCAGAGTCGCATTAGGACAGCACAGGCCTCTTAAAACACAGGAAAGAGATTAGGACAAGACTGGATATGGATTAGAGCTTTGTGTCTGGTACCTGTACCATGGGGTCAAGGTTGGCTGACTAGAATGGTTCAGTTTCCCCTAGTGGCAAAACATTTTTTTTATTAATTATTTTTTCATTTACAGCCATAAAAAGGTAGCCATGTGTTCTGATGGAATCCACTTTTTGCAAGCAACATATAAATCTCAAGTTTTCATTGTGCTATAGTACATGTTTTGTTGGTGTTTTATGTGACACTGTGCTGCCATTATTATAATTGTAAAACAGTTGTTAAGACCATTTATATTTCAATAGCCCTACGTTTTCCATCAGTGTCCTTTAAATGTATTATCTTTCCTTCGTTCTTTGGAGAGTGTCCTATGCAAAGGGAATGTTTTTTAAAATTGGGAAATAAACGAATGAATATTTGTAGTGTCCCTAAATTGTTTTAAAAAACCTAAACCTGCAGATGA